GGGGGGGGGGGGAGGGGGGGGATCCTGAAAAAGCCCCCATGCTGCATACAGCATACTCACATAAAGATATAAAGTGTCTTCAGAGGCAGTGTCACTGAAATGCCACAGTTCAGGACCTAAGGACAGCTCTGCAAGCGAAACCACAGATAAGACACCTAGAGCAACGTTCTGTTGTTGTAACAGCATAACCAAGCATGCCCTTGCAGGAACACGGGCCTTGAAGAGATATCACTGTGAGATGACCAATGTTTCAAGAAATTGAACAAACCTGTGCTTGCTGACTGACTGGTGAGAATGAGTGGTGAGAAGCAAATGTTGACTGTAGAAAAAAACTGTGACTATTCACAAAGTCTTGACAGGACAGCTGAGTTAAAAACAAATATATAAAAAAGGTTTATCCTCCTTAAAACCCACTAGCAAAACTGAGCAGGCTGGTAAAAGGAGGGTTTATGGGCCCTAATATTCTTGTAGGCGGCAATTAGGGATGCAGAAATACCAGGCATTTTCACAAGTACTCATGAAAATGCCCCGATACTAAGTGCCAATACCGGCGCTTTAAATGTTTAAACTGAAGCCAAGGTCCCCCCTTCCTGTGAACCGTGGTATCTGTTTAGTTCCGGACGCACATCTCCTCCTTCCTGAAACCCCGCCACCTGCGGAACTGGACCCCTGGTGAGACCCTGTACAGCCCTCCTAAGACCCTGTACAGCGCTCCTAAGACCCTGTACAGCCTCCGAAGACCCCGCACAGCCTCCAGAAACCACCCATAGCCCTATTAAAACACCAGAGAGCCGCCTAAGACCCCGCACAGCCTCCTGAGATCCTGCACAGCCCATCTGAGACCCCACACAGGCTCCAGAGAAAGTACAGCCCCCCCGAGACACCACACAGCCCTCCTGAGATCCTCCGCTGGAGACATCAGGCTGGCACCCCGGAGCTGCACAGAGTATGTAGTTTCATATTATTCTGCATTGATGTATAATGTATTGCTGAGATGTGTAGTCCTCTAGTCGGTTGCCATTCAGCATTGCTGTATAATGTATTTCTGTGATTTGTAGTCCTCTACAGACAGTGCCATTCTGCATTGCTGTATAATGCATCCCTGGGATTTGAGGTCCTCTCTAGCTGATGGTATTATTCTGCATTGCTGTATAATGTATCCCTGGGATTTGTAGTCCTCCATAGCCCATACCATTCTGCATTGCTGTATAATGTATCAATGGGATTTGTAATCCTCTGTAGCTCATGGTATTATTCTACATTGCTGTATAATGTATCACTGGGATTTGTAGTCCTCTAAAGCCAGTTCCATTCTGCATTACTGTATAATGTATCGCTGGGATTTGAGGTCCTCTCTAGCTGATGGTATTATTCTGCCTTGCTATATCAGGGGTGTGGAAATTTTTAAAAAAACTACTTGTCCAAGGGCTAAAGCGGGGGCCAAATCTACTTGTCCTTCACGACAGTCTACTTGTCCCAATACAAAAAATAGTTTTAATCAAAACTAAGGATGCACCAATGCCGGTTTTTCGGTATCGAGTACCGATTTTTTGCTTTCGGATCTCGCCGACACTGAATACTAATACCGGTGCTTCCGCTGACATAGTGGAGAGACAGGGCCAGATTTCATTGGGTAATTTTTATTTTTCCATATTACCTGGGAAAATGAACTTACCCTTTAATGCACATTATGTGTGTGTAAGAGAATTCTGGCTACCACCATGGAATGGCAGCTGCAATCTCATTAAACATGCAGAATGTCCTACGCATGCGTTTATTTGCATGCAGATGGCGGGGGTAGCAGGGTTTCATTTTTTACTTTTTCATTTTTATTTTTTACTTTTCCTTTTTTAAATCTTTATATATTTTTTTTTTTACTTTTTACATTTTCTTTAACTTTTTATTTATTTACTTTCCCCCTTAATGTTCTTCCTATTACATAGGAGACTAAAATCCCTTATGTGATAGTTTGGAGGCGACAGGTTCTCTTTATGGAACCTGCCCTCCAACACAGAACAGCTGTTCTGTGTAGTTCCTGACAGCCGAGACAGGTGGCGCTGTGATTTCACTACTATCACTTCACTACTATCCTAAATTCATTAGTCTGTACTGTTATAGGAAAAATGTCACATGACATTAAAAAGAAGTATTGGTAATTGGTATCGGTGAGTACTTGAGGAAAGGTATCGGCACTCGTACTCGGTCTGGAAAAAATTGTATCGGGGCATCCCTAGCGGCAATATAACCCTTAATGGTGAAGCTAAGAGGACAAATAAATAGCCTAGACTTGGGCTTTAACGCTCATTGACACCAACAATAGAGCTTATTTTACCTCCCACTGACACCAACAATGAGTCTTATTTTATTCCAACTTGTACCAATGATGGGACTTATTTTAACTTTCACTGACAAAATCCATGACTTATTTTTCTCCTACTACTACTCCTAAAACATTGCAAAGCTCAGGACAAAGGTGTGAAAATAAAAGACATGTGCCCTTAAGCGACACCTACAGTGTGCCACATTTTTCATCTTGGAACTTTTAAGGCATCCCTCCTGCTGTTAAATTTGTTAATTTTCTTAAGCCATGGCTACATGTTGCTTCTCAGGGTGGGTTTCCTGAACACAACCCACAACAATGTACTGTGGTTGCGCAGTGTGTGTTGAAACAGCTTTTGTAACCCTCATCATAAGCCTACATGTCATCGGTGGAGCACAACGGAGAGACAGTGACAAATGGTTGCCACCCTATTAGCAGGAATTGAAAATTACTTTTGAAACTAACCTAACATCTTAAAGCGGAACTTAAATCACCTTCCATTGCTCCCTCACTGAAATCTTCCAGGTGCCGGATCTTCAGAAGTCTTGAGTGGATGGCGGGCAATGACATCTCTCATGTCTGCACATGAGAGTTCATTCATCATGGCACAGAGGGGTGCCAAGAATGCCACACTGAGCTATACATGCACAGCTCAGTGTACATTGTAAAGATTGCAAACTGCCAGGTATGTTTGCTTTATTGCACAAGAGACAGCGTGTGTCGTCTTCAATTAAGTGCCTGCCTGCTCACAGTTTTTTTTATAAAGTTTCATTCCACTTTAGCCTACTATTCACACTTGAACATGAACACTTTCAGGCAAAGGCAATTTTGAAGCTTTCTTTTTGCGTGTGTTTTTATTAGAGATGCATGGAAATTAAATTTTTAGACCAGTGTGGTTTTTAAGGGGGGACACCAGACAAAAAAAATGTGTTGTTTCCCCCTTCACATATGTGTAAAGAGTGGCACCCTGGTTGAGAAAGGCTGGACATTAGACTTTTGTTATTGGCTTTAAATTCACTTTAACAAAGAAGTGTTTTGGCCCACCTTGAAGCATACCAAACCTGGCAACCCGAGTACTGACCCAAGTTCGCCTTTCACTAACATTTGTTCTCTTCATGTCTCTCACACTTCCGTGTTTTCCCGCCTTCCGCCGTCAGGCTGTCCTCCGCCCACGTGATGGCGTCTCCTTGGTTTCGCGTCACGTCCAGTCTGAATTGTCTCCTGAGCCTAACAACTTGAGTTCAGCTCTCTTCTCTGGGGGATATATTCCCCGGCACAGCTGAGCTATGGAGACCCACCGTGTACAGATGTGGGCGAGGATGGATCCGTTCCTAATCGGCGTTCTGCAGTTTCCTCCGCCTGCTAAGTTCAACCTGCACTACCTGAGAAAGATGGCAACCTACGTACGAACTCGGTCAGCGGAGCACTGTTACCCGCGCCTGTACTGGACTATGTGGCGGCACATCGCCTGCGGGAAACTGCAGCTGGTAGAGGACGTGGCGTGGCTGTACTTCGAGGCTTTCCACAGCCTGTCCGAGCGGAGCGCCTCCAAGAACCTGGAGTGGGCTGAGGCTGCCTCCAGCTGCAAGTCCGTGGAGGAGTATGAGAGAGTGAAGAGTAAGGTAATCCGGAGTCCTGGACTTGTATTTCTTCCACACGTTAGTCTTGATTCACACCAGAGCGAAGCTCCAAGATGAGCAACAACCAAAATGCAAAACCGGAGCTGATAGAGTCTAGAGCAGTAGCCCATAGTAAGCTTCTGTCTTCGGTTTGCTCAGTTAAAATTTGACAATAAAGATGGAAGCTTGGTTGCCATGGCAACTGGTCCAGTTTTGATCAATTTCCCTCCATTCTTTTAAATTGTGCCTGTTCATTATTAATGACAGGGGGGCTCGCCCTTGCCCACGCTGATCTGTCACTTACACATACCCCCTACCGGCCTAATCAGTAGCGGCAGGGCCATTCCACGCACCGCAGTTACATGTCACAAAGGGACAGGGAATTCCTCGGTGGGCGGATCCCGTCATCTACGTCGGGATCCGCTGCGGCGTCTCAGTATACCGCGAGCTGTAGCTCGCGGTATACTGAGGTTAGGGTAACGGGAGGACGCAAGTTTGTGTCCTCCCGTTACCCTAAGAAGAACTATGGGGAAACGCACTGACCCCATAGTTCTCCTTTAACTGATTGCGGCGCTGTCAGTGACAGATTTGCACAGGTTTGGCCGAACGGGGTTATCAGCAAACCCTGCACATCACTTCGCATTTGCGACCGGGCCCTGGTGTTCCGCCAGTTTGGGGGGCCCAGAGAGACCAGAACACTGACATTGATTTGCCATGTGTTCCGGAGATCACACTGCGGCCGGGGGGGCGTACCTGCGTTGCCATTGACTTTAATGGAACAACACGCCCCCTCCCACCCCAGAATGCAGTGAGGCGGCCTGGATGCGATCCAGTGCGTTCCAGCACGAATCGGGCCGAAACGCACTGGAACTGGTGTGAACTAGCCCTGAAAGTCATAACATACATACAGGGGAATTTATCAAAATAATTAATCGAAATTAATCGATTAAAAAATATTTCGATTAAACGAACACAAAATTTGTAATCATTACCAGACCTACAAAAAAGCATCCTTGATCAAGTGTCAGAAAGCAAAGTGCATTCTTCTATGACCCAGAAGACGGGAATCTGCAAGTACAATAATCATCCTCATCACTGCAATGAACACCCGTTTTCTAAGTCACAATAACAACAAATGAAGTCACAGAAAAAGGAAAGGTGATAGAAGGGGAAAGAGCAGGATACGGCTATAAAACTTAGGATGTATTCTGTAAACTAGAAAACTACAAAAAACAACCCAGTAAGCCATGAGAACAGCAGTGGGGAGTAGAGGACAACCAGCAACACCTAAGGAGTTCATGAGGGTACAAAACTCCTGGGAGAACGTAAAGTCCAGCCAATAGAACCAGACACACTGAAACTTCTCCTCTTAGTGATGCAGAGCTGCCGTCAGTTCTTCCATGATCTGCATGTCCTCAACCTTCTGAAGCCAGAGTTTAAGTGGGGGAGGATCAGAACGTTTCCAGTATAGTGGGGATAGAAGCCCTGGCTGTGTATCAGAAGAGAGCGCTGGTAAGCAAGCTTTGGGGAGGGGAGACAAGGCCACTGTGTTATCAGTCAGTTGTACTCCATTGAGCTACAGACAACTAATCAATTATAATCGCATATTGAAAAAGTTGTCAACTTTTTCAATCATCGATTAATCGGCATCTGATTGGTTGGCCCTGTTCACGGCTCCACACACGCTGCGCGCCACACTTCCTCCCCACCTTACGCTCGCCGCTGCCAGACCCACCCGCATCCACGCTCCACATGCCGCACCTCCTCACGCTCACTGCCCGCCCACATCCACGATCGACACAGGATCGCGGGGAGAAGAAGTAAGGGGGAGCAGGTGTGGGGGGATGACAGCTGCCGATAGACTTGCTGGGGATGACAGCTGCCGATAGGATTTGTATTCCCCTATAGCTGATGGTACATTGTGCTGTATATTATACAGAGGAATACAAATCCCAGCAATACATTACACACTGTATGTATAATGTATTGCTGGGATTTGTTGTATCCCTATATAGCTGGTGGTATTCTGCATTGCACTGTATAGAGGACTACAAATCCCAGCAATACATTGTACGCTGTATGTATAATGTATTGCTGGGATTTGTTGTATCCCTATATAGCTGGTGGTATTCTGCATTGCACTGTATAGAGGACTACGAAACACAGCAGTAATGCATTATACAGCTCAATGCAGAATACCACCAGCTATAGAGGAGTACAACAAATCCCAGCAATAATACATCATACAGTGGTGCAATGCCGAATACCACCAGCTATAGAGGACTACAAAACCCAGCAATAGTACAGCGCAATGCAGAATACCGCCAGCTATAATGTACTATTGCTGGGTTTTGTCGTCCTCTATAGCTGGAGGTATTCGGCATTGTGCTGTATAGAGGACTACAAAACCCAGCAATAGTACATTATACAGCACAATGCAGAACACTGCCAGCTATAATGTACTATTGCTGGGATTTGTTGTATTCCTCTGTAGCCGGTGCCATTCTGCATTCATTGCTGTATAATTTTACACTTTTCATTTCACTATATTGCACACCACACTTTTTTTTTTTTTCTTTTTTACTTCCACTGCTCCAAGCTCACTCCTGTGATGGACTACAATCTTAATACAAACTAGTAGTCCCATCACTGAAGCCATTTTTTTAACATTTTTTTTTTTATCCGATTAACCGATCTGAGTAATCGGCTAATCGATTTTGAAAATAATCGTTAGCTGCAGCTCTAGCATGCTTGCTGACCGCATCACCAACACAAGTGAGAGCACTATGGGAACATCTAATATTAAGTGGTGGGGACATAGTACCACTAGGTGAGGACCCTGACTCCTGAAAAATAGATGTGTTCTCTTTGTGCGTGCTTAGGCTATGTTCACACCATATCCGGAACAGATCTGGCGCAGACATGGAAACGCAGTGTAGTGTGTTTTTGCCACGCTCTGGTGTTTTTGTTTTTTCTTTTCTTAGCCTAAAATTGACTTTCAGGTGCAGTCCAGTGCATTTTTTGATGCTTTTACATGCTTTCCAGTGCATTTCAAACCAGAGAAAATGAGATGAGCAGTATTTTTTTTGACTGAACTGGAAATGACTGCTCCGTTTAAAAAAAAAAAAAAAAGTACGATCTGCCCATCCTGGACAGGCAGATCGTACTTGCGATCATCGCAAGCCCGCCCCCCTGAGGGGCGGGCTTCCGATGACTGCAATGCTGAACGGGCAGTGTGCGCACACCAGCCCGTTCGGCAGTCATCTCTCGATCATGTTAAAAACCAGCCGAAAAAGACGTGCGACCGTACATTAGAAACGGTCGCATGCCTTCCATACACTGCACGATTCTCGTACGAGAATCGTGCAGTGTATGGGCACTTTTACATTGGGATGCTTTATTGGTCCGTGAACAAACTGTTTTGGTCTGGACATGTTCCGGACTAGAGCTGCAGCTAATGATTGTTTTCAAAATCGATTAGTTAGACCAGGGCTCAAAATTTCAAGTCCTGAGCTACTAGCCAGGCCTTAAGAGTTACTCGCCACCAGTCGCCCCACCTGACCCCTACCTTCCAAGAACAGGAAACAGACAGCGATTGGCGCTGCCGAAGCGGCGGAAGTCCACCCCCTGGATTTCCACTCGCCCCCATGCAATTTTCACTCGCCAATTGCGAGGGGGCGAGTGGAAATTTTGAGCCCTGAGTTAGACGATTATTAAGTTCGATTCATTGGTTAATCGGATAAAATAAAATACATTTTAAAAAATGGCTCCAGTGATGGGACTACTAGTTTGTATTGAGATTATAGTTCATCACAGGAGCAAGCTTGGAGCGGTGTAAGGAAAAAAGGGGAAAAAGAGTGTGGTGTGCAATATAGTGAAATGAAAAATGTAAAACTATACAGCAATGAATGCAGAATGGCACCGGCTATAGAGGACAGCAATAGTACGTTATACAGCGCAATGCAGAATACCACCGGCTATAGAGGAATACAACAAATCCCAGCAATAGTACATTATAGCTGGCGGTGTTCTGCATTGCCCTGTATAATGTACTATTGCTGTGTTTTTTAGTCCTCTATAGCTAGTGGTATTCGGCATTGCAATGTATAATGTATTGCTGGGATTTGTTGTACTCCTCTATAGCTGGTGGTATTCTGCATTGCGCTGTATAACGTACTATTGCTGTCCTCTATAGCCGGTGGTATTCTGCATTGCGCTGTATAACGTACTATTGCTGTCCTCTATAGCCGGTGGTATTCTGCATTGCGATGTATAGAGGACTACACATGCCAGCAATAATACATTATACAGCGCAATGCAGAATACCACCGGCTATAGAGGAATACAAATCCCAGCAATACATTATAGAGCACCATGTGTGGGAAAGTGCAGACTTACCTGAGCAGTCTTCCAGCAACTTGCTTCTGCGATCGGGCCTGTCTATCGGCGGTTGTCATCCCCCCCCCACACCTGATCCTGTGCCGGTCGTGGATGTGGGCGGGGAGGAGGTGCGGCGCGTGGAGCGTGAATGCGGGTCTGCCAGCGGCGAGCGTGACGTGGGGAGGAGGTGCAGGGTGTGTGGAGCTGTGAACAGGGCCAACTAATCGGAAGCCGATTAATCGATGATTGAAAAAGTTGACAACTTTTTCAATCATCGATTATGTCGACACGGTGTGAACAAGCCCTTACACATGATTTATAAGTCTGTTTCCCATTTCATGTGAGCTACATATGAAGCAGAATGAGCATGCCTGGAAATTAGCATTTTTTAATTTATTTTGCATCTCTGTGCATTTCCCTGCGTGTGACAACACTCAACTTCAGAATTCCATTTTTTTCTATTGTAGCTTTTCAAATCTCTACTCTCAGAGCTCAGTCACTTAACGTTTGAGAAGTTACGTTAGGTTTTTCTTTTTTGCAGCTGTGTTGCATGTTTTTGCCTCCATAAACTTTAATGGAAATACCTACAAAACGCTAAACAAGCATTTGTTGCTAAAGAACTGCGCTTCTGATTTCTATTGGTGAAAAATAAATACTACTGCACCTGTACCTGTGCAAAAACACTTGCATATGGCCTCATTCACACTGTGCTAACTTGGGGCATGCACGCCCATATCGGACCGTTCCCGGGAGGGACAGGTGCGTGTAGTAGCCTATCCCTCCCTATGGGAGGACGCGGCCGTACGCTGTCATATGCAGACCCGAACTGCATATGCACAAAACTGCTTGTACACACTTATATTCAGATGTGAATGCAGGCTAGGTCTCATTCATACCTAGGAGTTTTTTAGTGCCTTTCCTATAGTGCGACAACAAGAGGAATCCCATTGTTTTCAATAGCCCGTGTTCACACCTGAGCGTTCACATTACAGATGTCCCATTGCACTCCTGACTAAATTACAACCCAGTGCTGTAGTGATTGTGGATGCTGCCACTTGTAACCAGAGCAAAGAAGACAAGTCACCAGTAGGGCTGCAACAACTAATCGAATAAATAGATTACAATAGATAATGAGAATCGTTGTCAACGATTCTCATTATTGATTGGTTGGATTAGTTGAATCCACCACCTCTCTGCTTCTCGCTGGTGTTGGCTGCAGCGGTCTGTGTCTCTCCTGTATTGGCAGAGGTACCGTGTTTCCCCGAAAATAAGACACTGTGTTATATTTTTTTGGCCCCCAAAATACACACTAGGTCTTATTTTAGGGGATGTCTTATTTTTTTTTTAATGTGCAACAAAATGTACAACAATCCAAAGTTATCTGGTGTCACTCCGCCCGTCACAGTAACTGGCGCTATAGAGGAAGTATCGGCTAATGCGGCTCTGCTCCCTTCGCCACCGCAGCCTTGCTTTCTACAGCGCCGGCTTCCTTTGCCATCAGGGACGCGGTGCAGCAGTGGGGACATCAGACAGTGGACAGCGCGGTAAAGTACGGTACCATTTACCGGTGCACATTACAGTACCATTACATTAAGCAGTACCTTCAGGGGGACAGCAGTTAGTGAAGTATGGTACTGGAGTGCTCCCTGTCACTGCGCTGGCCGGGAATCCCCTGTCATCCCCTTAATACAGTATGTCCCTGCAGGTTGATACCATCTCTCCTGCTCTTCAAGTTCCCCCTCACATGCTACCACTAAACTAGGTCTTATTTTCGGGGTAGGTCTTATATTACAGGAATCTTGAAAAATAGTGCTAGGTCTTACTTTCAGGGTAGGTCTTATTTTCGGGGAAACAGGGTAGCAGGACACAGACTGCTGTAGCCGGCACCAGCGGGGAGGAGAGACCGCTGTGACTCTGCATTATCCTACTCGTGGCCCCCATTCCTCCACTGCTGTTCCTGTGCTGCTGACCCCGTGCCCCCTCTTCTCCAATCAAGTCAGTTGGAAACAATAGCCAGTCTGCTATTGGCTATTTTAAATTGCAATAACCAATAGCAGGCTGGCTATTTCACCTGCCTGCTGTCAATCAGCAGAGGAGGGAATTGAAGGAGAAGTTCTCCTTCAGTTCTCTCCTCTACTGATTGACAGCAGGCAGTCGGCTGGTGCAATAGCCTGCCTGCTATTGCAATTTAAAATAGCCAATAGCAGACTTGCTATTGATCCCAGTCACTGCCTGCTGTGTTTACATTAGGCTGCCTCAGCAGGCAGCTGTCATTTCCTAGTGAAGTGGAAAGGTAACACTAGGGGTCCTAATGTCACCTTGAGAACCTGTCGCCACCAATGTGCTATCACATAGGGGGCTTGTGAGCCCTCGCACATACTAACAGAAACACAAGTCGGGTGTTTTGGTTTCAGCCTGAAAATTCTGCTCCAGGATGTGCCTTGTGGTGCCAATAATTTAAATGGCATGCCAAACGCCCCTCCCGCCCACAGTGTGATCACCTGCACTGAAACATGCGGTACTGCAATGCCAAAACGTCCAGCAACAGTAGCAGTTAGAAAGTTGCAACAAACCATTTATCAGTGAAAGGGGATAAACATCTTTATCTCCCCCAAAAAAACTAAATACAACTGCTGTTGTTACTGCTTAAAAAGTGTCAGCTGGAGTATGGATTTTATTTGTTAGCCAAGTCCATCTAAAGGTGCCCATACACCTTGCGATTATCGTTTGGAAAAACAAATACAATCGGGTTTTCGGATGAAAATCGGCCAGTCGATGGGAAGTGAACGATCATAATTGCTGTACAAGTGGGAACATTTCCTAGATCGGTCAGACTAAAAACCTTTTGTCGAAACAAATGAAAATCGATGGATTAGTAGCGTTTTCGTACAACAAAAATCGCAACAGGAACACTGCACATGCGCAAACGAAGATCCATTCTTTCGATGGACAAAAATCATAAGCGTTAGTATTGCTAACGAACGATTATTGCAAGCGGCATTGGTCTGTGCATGATGCGCTATTTGAGCGGAAATTGAACGAGGGTGCGATGATGGGACAAAATAAATCGTAGATAATTGTAAGGTGTATGGGCACCTTTTTACACTGCCTTTTCCAGATGGTGACAAAGCTTCTGTCTGGCTACGCTGCTCCTCCATAGAGTGAGGCCACCCGAAAGCTTGCCATACGTTACAATCTATACAATTTTTTTGCTTTAGATGTACCATCAACCATGTAGCCCAAGGGCCTGCCTGTTTGGAAATAATTTGAATGGATCGTTCAGGTAGGTCATCCTATTACATAGCTTTGATACATCTAAAGTTTATTGTACAGAGATTGAATGGTCAGATTGTAAAGTGTATGGTGAGCCTAAAGCTGGCCATACACCTATAGATTTTGGCATTTGGCACCCACTTACAAAACAGATAATAAACATGTCCATTTTGTTTCCCCACAGCTGTCAGTGGACACCCTGAAGTTCCTTCTGTTCCTCTATATTCAGCAGATAAACAAGGTTTCCTTACGTACTTCTCTGATTGGTGATGAGTGGCCAAGCCCTAGAGCTAGATCTCCTAATCCTGACTTAGCTGGACCATCTAGCTTTCATAATAAGGTAAGTTATGAAGTATGCACATTTTAACATCTATCATCTATTCATGTTTCCACGTGTAGATTTTGAAAAGTACACCTGCCTCATGAAAAATCAGTAAGTTCACTAGACAGCTAGCATTTTCACAAGCTTTCTTTAAAAACTGTGGAAGTTTTGTTTATTTTTACAGCGACCTATGTTTTAAAAACCGTAATGGACATCCCACCCTTAAATAACTTGAACATATGGTACTTTATTGTCTTTTATGAGCAAGTATAAGTATGGAGGAAATGATGTAGGAAAAAGGGGGAGGGGCATGTGGAGGCAAGCTCCCAAGTTAACCTCTGAACACAGTACAGAGTCACTTAAAAAAAAAAAAAGGGGGCAAAAGTGATCAAAATCTTCTGTGTGGCCGCGAAATGTTAAAACAAAAAACATTACTAACCAAACAGTAGACCTAGATTTCTGTTATTTATATGGGTAGAGAGAGCATCGTATGCATTAGAGAGTACGTATCCTGGGAGGCTATTGGCTTTCTTGCAATCCTTAAAGCGGAACTAAAGTCCCACTGTGAAAAACTGCTTGGAGCTACGTTTATTTGCCAAAAGAACATGCACAGTCTCCTTTGCCAAAAAAACTTTTCCCCATGCTCCTTGTAGTTCTTCTGCACATCTTGGCTCATTTTCGCTATGCAGAAAATAGAGCCAGGTGCCAAGGATGATGTAAATTGAAGGGACCTAGTAGTAGAAGAAGCTGGGTAAACAGCATTGTCGTCAGGAGTGGAGATTGGAAAAACAAGATTTTAGCGTGTTTCGGTTGACCTATGCAAGCTTTCTACCCCCCCTCCCCCAGTGCTAGTGTAAGGACTTACCTTAAGTGATGCCTCTTTTATCCGATCATCATCTTCTTTTCAGCAGTCCCTCCAGCGCTGGTGCCGGTCTCTGATCCATCGCTGACTGCTGTGTCGTCCTGTCCCACGGAGTCTGTGCGGGTACACGCTGCCGGACTGCCTGCATTAACTTACTTTGTGTCTCTACTCTTCTCCCGGGCCGAAGATCTGTACTGTGCATGCTCTTTTGCAGCCGCCCGAGGATCTTTGGACGGGAGCACGCGTTGGAGACACAGGCAAGTTTTAACTCTTTAAAAAAAAATGTTTTTGCATATATCCACTGCTATGCAAAAACATACAAGGCTTTAATTACCCATTTTTTGTGCTGAAAAATGCCCCCCTCGGCTTATACTCGAGTCAGCGTCTCGAGCTGGTCAGGTTTCTTCTTACCTCGCCGAGCGTCGCGTCACTGCTGCTCCGGTGGGCGGCGCTCCGAGCGGGGTCATCTGGCAGTCTCCGGGTCCTAATTTAGGTGGCCGGAGACTGCCAGATGACCCTGCT